CGTAACCTGGAACTGTAACGAAGTAAACCCATTTCTCTCTCTTTCTTTTTTTTTTTTTTAAAGATTTATTTATTTTACTTATGAGTACACTGTAGCTGTCTTCAGACATACCAGAAGAGGGCATCGAATCTCATTATGGATGGTTGTGAGCCACCGTGTGGTTGCTGGGATTTGAACTCAGGACCTCTGAAGAGCAGTCAGTGCTCTTAACCATTGAGCCATCTCTCCAGCCTCCATTTCTCTCTTAAGTTGCTTTTTGTCTGAGCATTTTATCACAGCAACAAATGACTCTAAGGGAGCACTGCAGGCCCTGTAGACCTGGCCCTGTCCACCCTGCTCGTTTGGGGCATGAGACACGACCACATTCTAGCCTTCCTCTTGTTCAGATTTCTACTTACCAACATAAAGACCATCCATCTCCTTCCAAGTCCCACAGCAGCCCCAGTGACTCCACTCTGTGCTCAAGCTAGTTTTCAAAAGTCACCATCAGCTGGACATGGTGGCACAGGCCTTTAATCCATTACTCGGGATACAGAGATAGATAGGCTTCTGTGAGTTCTAGGCCAGCCTGGTCTACATAGTGAGGTCCAGGCCCTGTTCCAAAAAGTCACCATCACCCAGTGCCACCATTCCCCAGCCTGAGCAATGAGCTTGCATCTCTCCTCACCCCCCCCCCCCCCCTTCCCCAATGCCGGAGCACAGGAATGCTGATCGATACTGCAGTCTTTCCCATATGACAACCTTCTCCTCCCACACGTACCTGCCGACTCTCTCTAAATACAGATGACCTCCTGAAGTCCACAGAAGCAAAGATCTGGTAGCTTTCTGTTCCAATGTCTCCAACAACTTAGCTACTAAAAATAGTAATTCCACCTGCATGCCAAACAATTTGTTGGGGATCACCAAAGGACCAAAATAGTAAAGTTGCTTTTGTGCTTGGGGCCCAGAAGCTGAGTGTTTGGAGATGGTGGACAGCCCTCTACAGCTGGAGCTGGAGCTCAAGGCTCCAGGAATCCAGAGTAGCCCAGGGATGCCAAATGATGCTTTGCCAACAGTTCCAGAAAGCTCATTCCCCTGACCCCCTATCATATGGACACCTGCACAAGCCCTGGTCTCAAGAAAACTGCAAACGGAACAAACTGCTTTAGTGAGAGCTCTGGGACCTTGCCTCTGCCCCTGGAAGAGCCCAAGGTACAAGAGAAATCTGACTACTGCAATCCCTGGAACTAAGGACACGGTACAGGCCTGGCCCAGAACTCAGGGACATGCAGGGAAGGACAAGCCAGGTGTGCAGGGACTCAGTCTTCGCCTTAGCTTTCTGGCCCCATGACCTGAAGCTCCAGCTTCCAGCCACTCTGCAAGCCAAAGGGCTGCCATAACAGAACTGTGAACTAGAGACAGCAACACAGGCATGTGCAGAGGGCACCCGTATGGATGGGAGAGGATGGGGAAGCAAGAGAAGTGGAAAGCCTGAGTACCTACCACCCACTCTGGTGCCAAGGGCTCTAAGCTCACAACTTCAGCTGGTCCCTACGGTGTGACCCTCATGCTGTGTCAGACACAGACGCTTTCCCAGGCCAGGTGTTCATTCCTCAGTCGCTCAGAAAGCAAGTAATGAACCTTTCTTGGGGTGATAAACTTAGGTCTATACTGTTTTAAAGGCTCAGAGGTTACAAAGGGGGTCCTGATTTAGCACGTGGAGGGCTGGGGAGGTTCCTAGTGCCCTCTAAGTTGAGGCCTGAAGGGTTGAGAGCTTACAACCAACGTGGAAGCCCAGATAAACAGAGGGACGATGAGAAATGGCTCAGGTCAGGGAGATTCCAGGCAGGGTGGGTAAAAGCCCTGAACTCAGGCAGTACTTGTGAAACATGATGGGGGGCTTTGGGGAGGTGGGGGCACGAAGTCATGTAACGTAGTGGCATCTGCCCTGCATCTGGACAGAGGGATCGTTCTGGACTAGAAAAGGCCAAAAGCAAGGCATGGAGCTAGGCCGTGTGTGGGGACAGGCAGGAGTGATGGTACCTTGTAGAAAGATAGATGTGCCGGGCAGTGGTGGGTCACGCCTTTAAGCCCAGCACTTGGGAGGCAAAGGCAGGTGGATTTCTGAGTTCGAGGCCAGCCTGGTCACAGAGTGAGATCCAGGACAGCCAAGGCTATACAGAGGAAACCCTGTCTCGAAAAACCAAAAAAAAAAAAAAAAAAAAAAAAAGAAAGAAAGATAGATGCCTGGTGCCTGGTGCGGGACATGAGAAGGCAGGTGCTCCCTCTCCTGACCACAGGTAAAATAGCAGCTGCCCGTGAGGCCAGGGATAACCTTAGCCTGGGGCAGGGTTCCATTTCTAGAACTGGGAAATAGGAGATAAGAGAGCAAAGCAGAACTAGGGTACAGTTTGGGTCACACCCTTATTGTTGGGTCCATTCTGAAAGTGTGGGAATGGGAGCCATTCTAGCAAATTCTAGAGACAACAATTCTGGCCCAGTCTACTTACTTCCCTTCGGGACATCCACTCAGCTTTTGCTAAGTATCCCCACTGCCAAGCTACTCGCTGGAGAAATGATCACGAGTCCATCACCTCTCTGTCCTGGCAGGACATCTATGTAACCACATACTGATAACAAAACTGAGATCTGGGATGGCATAGGTGGCATAAGTGCCCCAGAATCAGGTACAGTCTAGTGGCCACCTATACACTAGGAAGTAGTTTTGAGCACTAGTCTAACACTGCTGTCTGGCCCAGCCATCCCATGTCTGCTGGTGAAGAAGGATGGAAGAATGAAGGTCTAAGAGAGGAGCTGAGGGAAGAAGGCAGGAGAGAAATCAAGAGAGGTCCTTAACTATTGGTGTAGTGGCTCATGCCATTATAATCCCAGCACTCAGAAAGCAGAGGCAGGCAGATCAGAGTTTGAAGCCAGCCTGATCTGCATAGCAAGTCCCAGGACAGCCAGAGCTACACAATGAAAAAGACCCTGTCTCAAAATGAAAGAGGGGTGGGTATGGAGGTGGAAGACAATCCATGTGTTCCTCAGAGTCCTGACTTGCTTCTAATTCCCCAGAGGTCCCAGGGAGTTAGTAACTCCTTGGAAGAGAACGTTCCATGCCTCTTCTTCTGGCCAGCAGAACCAAGGAAAATAGGAAGGTGTGGAGACCCCTAGTTCTTTTACTGTCCCTTCCCCCACCAAGAGGAAACTGGAGTCTTTGAAGCCCCAACTCCAGGATTCAGTGGGCAAAATCTCCCTCAGAAATTGTTACATATGAATCATTTTTATGCAAAATAGTCATCAAAGGGGGAAAAAACTTTCATCCTATAAAATGCACTGGCTCCCTGCCAGGCAGCCCATTGTCACTTGTGGCTCTCTCACATTCTAAATGACTTCATAGAAATAAAAAATAAACACCTTTGGCAATCATTGCTTGTCTGAGAACTGCTAAGCCAACCTAACAGGTTAGCAAAGCAGACCTGGGTTGTCCATCAGTATGGAGACACAGCTGCATTCTCTTATGCCCAGACAGCAGGGTGGTAGCTAAACGGGGGACTGTCTCATCTAAAGAGACCATACATCCTTCTGTCAAAGCCTGGAACATCTTACAAGCCAAAACCATTATCAAGAATAGTAGAGCCACTGTTCCCCAGTAAGAGACAGTGAGAGTCCCTCAGCCAAATGGCATTAGCAAATCTTGTCTCCATTTCACAAAAAGCAAGTACTCCTAATGGCTGTGGCAATGCTTGCTGAAGGAGGAAAGGTTTCACAAACCTGCCCTCAGCAGACCTCTGTTCTCATGTAATGAAATGTAGCCTTATATAAGATTTTGGAAAAAAACATCCAGGATCAATGCATACCCCACACTGAAAGCCCTTAGTTTGAATTCTATGCCAGCAAGCCTCTCTTCCAGATCTAAAATGCCTAAAATTTCACAAGGTGAGCTGATTAGTCAGAGGTGCCTTAGGTTGCACTCACGGTCAGTTAAGGCCATGAGCATCCAGCCCCTTCTTCTAGGGCACAAGATCTGTTTTATGACAGCAGAGGAAACTAAGACTTAGGTCTGTCCACTGCAAGTATTGTGATGACAGGTCGGTCCTCTTGAAGCATAGTTAACCTATCCTTCACTCAGTGCGTCTGCTCACAACCTGGTTTTCCTGCCAGTTGTCATGATGCATACCATTGGGGTACAAAGGCAGTATACTCCCTAGATTCCTCTTGGACAGACTTCAGTCCGTTTCTCATGCACCTGTCACTTAGCCTTGAAGGTCCCATGCTAGGCAGTGCAGATATGCTGAGAGCACTCAGGGGCAGTAGCCATACCACCTCCACTCCAGGGTAGAAAAATGTCGCCTTCTTTAACCCTTTGCAGTTCAGCTTCTCTGTCAAGACTCACTTGCTCAGCAATTCTAATGACCCAGGGAGGGACTTCTGGGTCATGGCCTCAAAGCAAAGCCCAGAAGAGCCCAAAGGGCTGTTAGGTGAACCTAGCACACAGTAGTGGTTTGTCTCTCAATGGCAGGTTGAACAGCACCTCAGTTCTGTGGCTGTAGAAAAGTGGGGAGACAGGGAAGACCCTTTGATGGAGACTAGCCTGAACCCAGATACACAGCAGTTGGAAGCACAGCAGAGCTAGATGCCTACTTCAAAGCCCTGTAGCTGGACACTTTGAAGTGTGAAAGGGGCTTATAACCAAGGCTACCAGACTAAAAAGTCAACATTTGGAAGCTAGAAGCAGAACCAGGAACTCAAGGTCATCTGGCTTCTGTGTGACCACTGCCCCCAACTCCCAAGTGAAACCTAAAGTGTTACATACCTGTAATCCCAGCAAGAGGCTGAAGTTAGCCAGGGCTATAGATAGGACACCAGACCCCAATCAGAGGCCCAGGGCAAATCTATCTCACTGCCCTACGGAAGTCCCACTGTCCCCAGAACAAAACAAACAGAACCAAACCAAAACAGAACAAAAACCAAACAAACCCCCACGCGTCAATTAAAGTTAAAATCACTCAACACTTGTGTGCCATGCAATTTTGAGACTTGGAGTTTATTAATTTTAAGTAACAATAATTTAAAAGGTATAATGGTTCTCATATTACAGGAATAATATCTATACAATAAAGAAAACTGACAAAGGTCATAAGCAGATATATAATATCAGTTACCAAGGAAGTTAGAGGAGGGTGAATTACCATAGGGGACATTTGCTTTTACTGTTCTGGTTTTTAAGGGAGTCCCATATATGTACCCACCACCGGCCTCAAACTTACTAGGTGAACTCTAGCTGTTGTTCTCTTCCCTAAACACAAGATTAATGTACATAAAAAGGAAGATTGAGGTTAACCAGCTGTTAACTACTGGTCTGTACACACATTAACATCTTGTACAGTACTGGTTTCTGGTGTTTAGGAATTCACTGGGTAAAGAGTCAGGTATGGTGACAGAAACCTTAATCCCAGTATTTGGGAGACATAGGCAAGTTTAAGGCTAACCTGACCTACAGAGCCAGTTCCAGGCCAAGCCAGAGTTACATAGGTAAGACTCTGACTTTAAAAAAAAGTCATGTGACACTCATATTTAGACAAACGTCAGAATTTATAGTACAATCACAGCATTTGCAAACTTCAAGATAATACTGAGAATTAAAAAAAAAAAAGCATAGAGGTAAAACCTCATAAAATGCATTCAATTTTTCTTTAATTTAAAATAAGTGGACTAAGTTTCAATAGTGCCCCCTCACACAATCAACATGGGAATGAGTGGATTTCACCCCTGATTTTACCACTGACAGGATCAAGACCACGCACAGGTCACTATTCAAAGCCCTTGCAAGACTCCGTACTAACTAGAAATGGGACAAAGTACAACTTGAAAAAAAAGACAAATATTGTTCGTCACACAAATGAAGACAGAGTCAACCAGCAAGTGTCCCAAATCATGGCTAAGTTTCTAGTGACTCCAAGTTGGAAGGTCTCCACACCGACGCTTATGAACTGATGATCTACTGACCGGAACCAGCAGGCTAGGGCCTGGGCTGCACAGGACAGGCTTCAAAGCTGACAAGAACAAAGCCTGGAAATGGCGTGCTTGTTCAATACTAACTTAGTCACTTAGACTTTGAATGGGACTGCCACCAGTGGTAGATGGAACACTTCCTGCTTGGTCTAGAAACCAAATAAAGCAGGCTCTCCCCCTGACAGTACTATGTCTGTGTGCAAAGTGCCAGGTTTATTTACAAACTTGTTAAGTAAACTCTATATACCTGCAGGAAGCAGTGAGGTTGACATCTTTAAACAGCCCTGTGGCTTCTAAATGTTGAAACCTGCTTGCTTGGGGGTCACTGCTCAGAAAGCCCGGCCCAGCGCTGTTAGGACTTTGATGAGGTCAAAGGTGACCATGCTACTTGTAAAAGCCAAGCACCAAGGACCTTAAGAATCCAAGGACCCATTGTTTGAAGTATGATTTCCTCTTCTAGTGACAAGCCTAGCAAACAGGACTGAGGTAGCTACACAGCTTTTAGACACCTAGCAAATTTAGTGACAATTCATGGGGTAGCCAGTTGGTTGGTTTTTGCTGATTTCATTTAATGACAAGGGGAGAAAAATCAGCAAAGAGCACACGACCAGTTACTCAGAAGTCAGCATCCAAGGTAAAAGAATTCTCTGTCGAATTCGACATGACTCCCATCCTCTGATACTCGCCTACACGCTTCTCAAAGAAGTTTGTCTTTCCTTCTAGTGAAATATTTTCCATGAAGTCGAACGGATTTTCTACTCTGAAAATCTGAAAAAGTCATATCAGTATATAAATGCTGAAAACAAGTGAAAGAAAGAAAAGAGAACACGGTGAAGGGGGAGGCCATGAATAATACTTTACCTTGTTAAAACCCAGCTCCAGCATCAGCCTGTCGGCCACAAATTCAATGTACTGCTTCATCAAAGTGCAATTCATCCCGATGAGCTTCACAGGCAAGGCCTCCGTGAGGAACTCCTAGAGGCCAAGCAAAGTCCATGAGCAGCCTGAAGCCCGAGGACCCCTTCCAGCAAGGTCAAGAGCAAACCCCCACACATGGCCCACCTGCTCTATCCTAACTGCGTTGGTAATTATTTCTTTCACTCTCTGCTCCGATGGCTTGTGTACCAGGTGCTTGAACATCAGGCAGGCAAAGTCACAGTGTAAACCCTGGAAGAGAGTTGTTCAAGATCACTGTGAGGACGACGACTCCCACCGTTCACATGCATGGACTTGTCCATCCTTACAATCTCACGCAACTTGTCGGCCACACTGAGAACACTTAGCCTATCCAGAGATAGGGATTTAAGCCCTGGTGTAGTGGCATACACCTGCAATCCCAGCATTATGGAGACAGAGACACGATCACCATGAGTTTGAGACCAGTTCTGTCTACATTGTTCCAAGCCAGCCACAAAATCCAACAACACAGGTGAGGGAAATAAACCAGGTATTTAGCTGCCAACTATGAAACCAAGGAGCATGCGTCTACTCCAAGAATGTACACAGAGCCCAGGCTGACTTAGCTCATCGGGAGGCTTACCAATTAACTCGGAAGTGCTAGAAATACAAAGGATCATGTAGGATACCCTAAAAATTCTATTAAGAGCTTTCAGTTTATGCATTCAAGCCTACAGGCAAGAGGAACATATGTACTAAGAAAATCAGTAGTTTTAATACACTACTTAAGGTATCTTATCCTTTGCTGAGTATTGTATGATTGAATTCACACATTAAATGTGGATACAGGGCTGGGAATGTGGCAGAATACTTGCCTAAGCAAGTATGAGACCCTAAGTTGGATCCCCAAGACTTGGACTGGCTCAACAGTTACAAGAACATGTGCTGCTTTTGCAGAGGACCCAGGTTCAGCGCCCAGCACCTACATCATAGCTCATAGCCATCCGGTTCAAAGGCCATCCTCCTTCCTTTTGTCCTTTGCAGGCAAAACGTTCACACATTACAATCGCTTTTTTATAAAAGGACTACATCCCGTTTCTCAGGTCCCCATCAACAGACAGAGGGCACATATCTAAGCACCTCAGATTAGATAGCTATTTCAGACTCACCTCGTCTCTGCTAATAAGCTCATTGGAAAATGTAAGGCCCGGCATCAGTCCCCGCTTCTTGAGCCAGAATATCGATGCAAAAGAACCAGAAAAGAAGATTCCTTCTACCGCGGCAAAGGCCACAACTCGTTCTCCTAGCAAGAGTCAACACGAAAACGTGAGGCCTCGGTATTCTTAGCATGGACCAATAATCCAATGACATTACTTGGACAGTCAAGTCTGGGCTTAAGGAGGAAAGAGAAGTATCCTCACCATATGTAGCCTCTTTGTCCCCAATCCAACGCAAGGCCCAGTCGGCCTTCTTCTTCACACAAGGCATGGTTTCAATAGCATTGAAGAGATATTCTCTGTAGGCAGAAGGTATAGTGTGAACTGATACCAGAGCCCTAACAACACAACAGGCACACAACTTCCACACCTGCTTCCTGTCCTGATGCGCATTGACCACCATAATGCTATCACTCCTTCCCAGTCTACCTCCACAACATAAAAGCCTTCTTCATTTAGAGCAATATATCGGCTAAACTGGTCTAAAATAAACCTTTTGACTCAATGTCTAGAATATGTAATTAATTCCCCTCACCTCCACTTTGTTTTTAATATTCATTTATAGGCCATGTGTGTAATGCCCATGGAGGCCAAAAGAGGGCATCACTTCCCCATGACTGGAGTTACAGCCCATTGTGAGTTGCCCTGTGGCGGCTAGGAACTAAAACTGGGTCCTTTGCAAGTGCCACAAGTGCTCTTATTAACCTCTGTCATCTCTCCAGCCCTTGGGGTTTATTTGGTGTTTGAGACAGTATCTCATCTGACTAGCCTTTGAATTCTTGGTAATGCTGCTGCGTTGGTCTCTGGGTGCTGGAATTACAGAAGCTACCACATACAAGAGCATGAGGCAGTCTTGACTAAGGGTCAAAAAACATCTATAGAGATGTCATTCTGCTCATTTTCCCTTTATGAGCAAAAATACTTAAAATAAAATAAGTGAGCCCCAAGCATCCTGGCAGAGCATGTGACACTCACCTTTCTTTGGGATCTTTAATGTAAGTGTCAATAAGGAGACTGTACATTTCAGAGTGGATGTTTTCCATGGCAATTTGGAAGCCATAGAAACAGCGGGCCTCTGTAACTTGAACTTCTTGGCTAAAGCGCTCCACCTAGTGGTAATGAAATAAAACAAAGTTAAACTTGAAAAACCACTGGTTGCTTCACCTCCATCCACACCACCAGGAAAGTGGCCTCACCTGCTGGAATTAATCCCAGCTCTGAGCAACAGTAGGTGGGAATCTGAGTAAGAGGCCATCTTTGTGTACTTACTGAGTTCTAAGCCAGCCAGGATTAGTGAGACCTTGCCTCAAAAACATTAAGTAAAACAAAAAGACTCAGGTATATATTTAATCCAATTTAATCCTATATTTTAATACATTGCTTCATGACTTGCAATAAAGCTCATTATTTTATGCCCAATTTACCAATCAGTAAATATATTATTCCTAGTGTGCCAGTTGTTTTAATAAAACTGCTACATGTTCCTAATTTCTGGGCCACGCTCCAGGCCCCATAGGGTTTCTTTTAACATTTTGTTACTCACCAATTCTGTTTCAGTTCATTCCAAGGACCCACTTACAATAAGAAATATACAACCAAAGTACAAGAGAAATCCACAAAAAGCAAAACGTGGTTAAGTACAAAGAGAAAACATACTACTGCTACCTAACAGAGGGAAAAACTAACATGGACGTTATCAGCCGCATTCATGGCTCTTAAAGATTTTATTTTGCTTGTGCATGCCTTTGAATGGGTATGTGCATGTACAGGCAAGTCCCCAAGGTCACCTTGAGTAGCCAGAGGCCTTGGAACTCACAAGCAGATGTGAAACAGTCCAACGTGGGGACTCAGAACAGAACTTGGATCTTCCGCACTGGCAGGAAGTGTTAACCAGAGTGGAGGGGGGAGCCAGCTCTCCTCTCCAGCCCCCATTCAGGACATAAGATACAAAGTCAAGCAGCAGCTCTAGATCTTCACGTGAAATTACAGGTATTTCATGCAAACTCACCAAGTTTTCATTGACTATGCCGTCACTGGCTGCAAAGAAAGCCAGGACATGAGATATAAAATGTCTCTCATCGGGTTTCAGAGCCTCCCAGTGCTGAATATCCTTGGAAAGGTCCACCTGAAGTTTAGAAGTTCACAATTTTAGCAGGTATGCAGGTCTCTCTCTCTAACACACACACACACACACACACTTTAAAATATCCCAGTGAGCTACCATTCCCAAGGGGAATCTAGGCCCATCTTAAAAGTCGTCATGGCCATGCAGGAGCCTTCTGACACAGCCAAGTCTTAGATGACTAATTACCTCCTCGGCAGTCCAAAAGGAGGCCTCAGCTTTCTTGTACATCTGCCAGATATCATGGTACTCGATGGGAAAGATAACGAAGCGGCGGGGATTGTCTCTCAGTAACGGCTCATCCTCAACGCTGGGGTTAGTAGGTACCTTACTTTCCTGTTGGATCAAAGTGCCAAGTGAACCCCCAAACGCCAAGCGAACCGTATGAAACTGCTCGGGTCTCATCAGGTCGAGTATTTTTAATGCTTGGCAGTTTCGCCAAGCATTACATTAATGGTTGGCTGTCACGCTGCATGCTACTGATACCGTGGGACATTCAAAGGAGTAAGTCAGCTGGGACAATGCAGCTTTGGCGCCAACGGCTGGCGCCCTCTGCTGGCAGTCTCAGAGACCCACCTCAGCCCCACACGGGCCACTCACATGCTCGGCGGAGTCCTGGAAGATCCTCCTCGCTGCCTTGCTGGCCAGGACGCGGGTGCTGCTGAGGGTCGGGGGCTGGAGGGAGACACGCGACGGTGAGTGGCGATAGGCACCCTCCACCCTGCCGGAGTCCCGGAACCCCCAGCCTGCCGGTGTACACCCAACCCCGCCGGCCCGTGGGCCACCCCTCACCGTGTTCTCCTTGTCAGCCAGGGTGAGTCGCTTCAGCGGCGACAACTGCAGCTGCTGCTGGTCGGTGATGGTGGCGAGCGGGGCGCGGACGGAGAGCATGGCGAATGAGGGCAGCGGCGGAGACGAGAGGCGAGCGAAACAGCTGGAATCCGGTGCACCGGCGACTGCCAGCGCCCGCACCCTTTAAAAGGCCGCCGACACGCGCGCTCCGCGGGGGTGTGGCCTCGGCTCCCATTGGACGCCGCCCCGCGCGGGAGATTTGAGTTGCGCAGCCGGCCTTCCGCACAAAGCCCTTTAAGGAGTCTGCGCCGCCCGGGTGCGCGGGCGCTCGCGGGGCCGGAACCGGTTAGGATTGGGAGAAGCCCGGAGGTGGGGGGGGGGCGCGGATTGAGAGCAGCAGGGGGCGTCGGGCGTTGCCGCCGAGGTTGTTGCCAAGGCTGGAGTGACGCTGCTGACCTCTGGGACACGTCGCCTAGACTGTCTTTGTGTCCCTCGCATAGGGATGCGGGAGACCCTGGTTTCTTAAAGAGATTCGGGGTCCCAAGTAATCGGACCGACTTTGTGGGATTAAGAGGGTCCTCAAACTAGGATTCCCTAAAAACTGCCTTCAAACTCGTTAAGGGGTACGGACGCAGCCTTGGGTGCAGTTTTTCTACCCCGCCTCTCCTGTCAGGCCTTTGTCCCCTGTGTCCCACTTGTTTTAAAAGTAACAAGCCGAACAAAAATGCCAGGAAGCTCAGGATGATTACGAGTCATACGTTCATTTTACGACTCTAGGCGTCCAGTAGTCGGAAGACGAATTTGAAAATTCCTGTGGTGAGGGTGGAGACAGGAACTCAAGTTTCCCTCTGGGTTTGTACGTGGCTTTCTGATTTTGCCCTGTGGGGTCCAAGATAACGAGCTGAGATGGGACGCTGAGATCCCGGGAAGAAACGTGGAACCTGGGAAATCTCCACTGACTCTCCCAGGTCAAATATTTTAAGAGGGCGAGGGAGGCGCCCCTCTGCTTGTGTCCTAAGTTCTCTTACTGTAGATGTTGTGAAAAATCACTGAACACAAAGTGGCAGCTCAAAGTTAAAGCAGGCGGTTTAGTTACTAAGATATAATAAATACCTGGAGGCAAATAGCAGACGTTCTCAGTTTCACACGCGCACACACACACACACACACACACACACACCAGTGTGCCCAACACCTCCTTTAAAACAGACTAAGTCTATCCTAGACTGGCCTCTAACTCGGTATGTAGTTGATGAAGACCTTGAACTGATCCTCCTTCCCTCCAATTCCCGAGTGCCGAGGCTACAGGCGTGCATCCGCCGCTGCACAATTCATACGGTGCTGGCAACAAAACCCAGAGAACTTCTTCCATGCTAAGCCAACTGGACCATATGGATAGACATTTTAAATCACCTCTAGCAAAATTGTCAGGTCTTTTTAAAATATGTAATTCCTAACTCATATTCTACTCCTCTAGTTATCAGTATCCGAGGGGTTGCCTTTGGTTCCTCTAGCTCCTGGTGTACTCAGTACAAATGAGGTCTGGCTATTAAAATAACACTCAGCCACTGAGGGAAGGGGAAGGTCGCCGCCATTCTCTCCTCCCGGCTCACAACGTCTTCCAAACGCCTCTTCCTCCCGCCAAGCGGGTTGAGCTTAGTAGGCAGCCCGCCTAGACTCCCCTGTACCAGGACCTGTCAGGAGCTGAGCTCTTATTGCTTCTGGCGCGGGTTTTTGACTTCTGCTCTGTGATTGGTCGGTTCCACTTCAATCGGAAGGTTCCAAGCCCCACCCACCCCTCTGCCTGCGCGGCGGCGGCTGTCACTCAAGGGCAAGTTGGCCTTTAGGAACCTTAGATGTGGAAATCGAGTCCCCACAGACATCAAGCGTTTCCCCGCCAAATCCACTCAGCTGTCAGCATCACAGTGACATAAAAACAGGCACAGCACGCTCAGCCCCTGTACCGCTTGATCAGGTCCTGTACATTTTTTAATCCAGATGAAAAGGAAAACGGATATTTTTAGGCCTGTTTTATAGGTAATCAAATAAAGGCCGGAGAGTCCTGGAAATTACCCAAGGTCCCACAACACTAGACCCTCGCTAACTCCTTTTCTTCTTTTAAAATTAATTTTGTGTGAGAGGTCTAGTGTGAAGGTCAGAGGCCCATTTATGGAAGTTGGTTCTCTCGTATTCTGTGGGTCCCCAGGGTTGGAATTTATGAGGTTAGGGTTGGCTGCTGAGACATCTTGCCAGACCCAGGCACCTTTTTATTAGGAATGTTCCCAACATACAGAAAAATCGAGCAGGGCATGATGGCACAAGTCTTTAATCCTAGCACCTGGAGGCAGAGGCAGACAAATCTCTGATTTTGAGGCCAGCCTGGTCTACACAGTGAGCTCCAGGTCATCTTAGGCTGCATAAATGAGACTTGATCTCTAAATAAATCAATAAATAAGAAAGAATTTAGGAAGCAGAATAGTTGGCTTGGTGGTTGAGAAAAACTTGCTCTCTCAAAGGACCTGGTTTGGTTCCCATCATCCACTTGATGGCTCACAACCATCCAAAATTGTGGCTCCAGGAGATCCAACATCCTCTTCTAACCTCCCAGAGCACCACCATACATGATTAAGATAACAATCCATTGCCAAAGTGACTAACAGTCTGAGGCTGACCCTGTGAGGCGGGTGTGCTCTCTGTGCAAGCTTCTGTGGTTCTGGCAGCACACGCTGTAACAGTGCCAGCCCCTCCTTCTTAACCTCCTGGCTTTGATTACTGATTAGGGCTGACTCCAGTCTGATCTTGGCAACTTGCATTTCTCTCACAAGTGAATCCTATTAGAGGATACTGAGACATGTTAGTCAGGTATAAATACAGCTTTGACAGCTTTAGTTTTAGGGTCAACCTGTTCAAACACCAAGTAATAAGAAGGCATCATCTACACTTTGCTAAAAAAAAAAAAAAGAAGAAGAAGAAGAAGCAGGGTCTCACCAGCCTAGAATTCATTATGTAGACCAGGCTGACCTTGAACTCACAGAGATCTGCCTGCCTCTGCCTCCTGAGATCAAAGGTACGCCACCATATCCAGCTTACAGGTCACTCATTTTGTATTTTATTTTATTATTTTATGTGTATGAGTGTTTTGCCTGCCTATATGTATGCCTGAAGATGCCAGAAGAAGGTGCTGGATCCCCTGGAACTGGAGTTAACATGTTGTTACCGAAAACCAAACCCAGGTCCTCTGCAAGAGCATCCTGTGTTCTGAACCACTGAGTCAGCTTTCTAGCCGCAACACTCTGGTCTTTAAAAAAAAAAATCTTTATATTTATTCATAAGACAGGGTCTTACGAATCTCAGGCTGGCCTTCAACTCAGCATTGTAGCTGAAGATGACCTTGAACTTCTGCTCTTCCTGTCTTCCCTCCCCCCCCCCCCCGTATTCCAGTCATGGGTGTGTGCCCCTACGCCTGGTTTACGTCATACCTGTTTTAGATGGTGCTAGGAATTGAACCCAGGGTTAGCCTCTATGGAGTCTCTTCTTTCGTAATACAGGGTGTATGTTCTGTGTGTTCATGGGGTCGGGGAGAAGGAAATGAACTTCAGAACTGGAGACCTGGAGCAACCTATACACAGATTTGCAAGTACAACGGGAATCCCACCGCTAGAGAGGAGGAAGGGCAAAGTCAGATTTGGAGAAGACTTCTGAGGCCACTCTGACAACCCAGTTATTGAAACAGTTATTAAGTAAGAGGCAACAAGTGGAAAAACAAGGGAATCAGCCTTGCAGTGAGGCATTGATGAACTTCCCAGAAGTGTAGCTACGAGTGTAGCTACAGCAGGGTGGAATGAAAGAGCCTTTGAGGGAGGGATGGGCTGGAATGTCCCTGTCTCTCACCCGCTGGACGCCTTTGACCAGCCCTTGAGGATTTCTTTTCTTCCATTTCTCTCTCTTTCTCTCTTCCTTTCTTTCTCATTTGTTTGTTTTGACTTTATTTTGTTGTTGCTGTTGTTTTGAGACACAGCCTCTCTGCATAGTCCTGGCTGTCCTGGAACTCACTCTGTAGACCAGGCTGGCCACGAACTCAGAGATCCACCTACTTCTGCTTCTGCTTAGATTAAGGGTATCTATCACCCAACCCCACAACCCTCGGTTCAACATGAACTTTTAATTATTTTTAGATCTGTGTACTTTTTTTAATGTGTGAATTAAGCGTTGTGCCTATATGCATGTATCTGTGTCACGTGTGTGCTTAGTGCCGGGAGGTCAGAATGCCCTGGAACTGGAGTTATCAGGTGGTGAACCACCACAAACATGAACTTTATAGAGGCATTTTAATGGGTTCACAAAACGCTGAAAACATTTAACAGACTCCCTGGAGGCGTGATACAGACAGGGCCAGGGCCTCTAAGTCAGCATCTTTGGATTCTGCAAGTTTGGGCTGAGTATTGCCTCTGTGGAATTCCTGGTCTCCTGGTGTGGACTCCCTCATGTAAAATGGGCCAACAAGATAGCCCAGCAGCAAAAGCCCCACCACCTGAGTGCTGAGCACACAGTAATAATAAATATTTGGTTTTTATTTTTCTCCAAGTGGGCTATTAATACTCAAAAGCTTGGAATCTGAAGCAAAGCGGCCCTTGTGAAAGTTGTGGGAAGCTGTTGTGATGGCTGTGAGCCTGCTCCCAGGTTCTCCAGGGTCCCTATTACCCAGCATTCACAGCGTCCACAGGCCTGCCAGCTTCCTGGAAGTGTTAGCACGGACAGGCTCATCTGGGCTGGGCCTGCAGCTGAGTACAGCGGGGCTGGAGAGATAGTGTCGTGACTCAGGAGAATCATACTTGGGGTGGGAAGAAATAACTCAGCTCAGTAGGGCAGTGTCCCTGGGAGTGGGTAGACAAAGAACATCATGGCAAAAGCACAGACCCAGAGGTCAGATGCCTGCCTGGCTTCCACACTCCTCCCATCAGGCACAAATCTAAGGACTTTCTAGGCCCATTTCTGTCCCCAAGCATCTATCCCAAATCTAGCCCCTTGCCTGCTTCCCTCCAGATCCTCACTGGGCTGCACACACAGCTTCCTGAGGGACTCTGTCAACACTCAAAAGTCACCTCAATGAGGTTTCCAATACCACTAGACTAATGTAAACTGGCCG